GCTCTGGGCTGCTGCCTCCACCATCCCGCCACCATCCCGCCACCATCCCGCCACCATCCCGCCACCATCCCGCCACCATCCCGCCACCAGGCAGTGAGCTGTGGCTTCATGCAAATCAGACGTGCCACCTGCCTGCCCGTCTTCCTGTCCAGCTGCAGCTCCTGCCTCCCACAGGCAGTCCTCCCTGAGGGCCCCACAAGAAGGCACCACCCCTCCCACCCCTCAGCTCCCCGGGGTCTGCCTGGCCCCCTCACACGCTGTGTCTGCTCTATGTCTGGTTATTTGAGGCCACGGAACAGGCGACTCGCCGAGAGGGGTACCCACTTCCCGGCTTGCCAGTCTCCTGCTGCCCCCTGCACCAGCCCTCTTGTCAATCCAGTCCCCACGCCGGTGCCAGCTGAAGCATCCCGAAGGGCAGTGCTGCTCGCAGCTCCCCCTCAGCAGCTGTCTGTGGCTCCCCAGCACCCCCTGCTGAAGGCCGCTCCACCCAGGTGGGCCTCGCCCTGGCTGCCACCAGCTCCTACCTCCCAACTTTGCTCACACGCCTCACAGGGGCAGACATGTCCTCTGGGCTGGGCACACTGCTCGGTCCCCCGCTTCCCTCACGAGAAGTCTGAGGGGCAGCTCTGACCCCGCTCCTGACGCTCAGTGCCCCACAGAGCGAGTCCCAGCCCTCAGCCGCCTTCAGGGGAAGCAGCCATACCTCTGGAGGAAGCGGGACCTTCCCCTGCGGCTAGGGAGCCTGGGAAAGACCCTGCCCTCTCTCAGCCTCAGTCTTCTCCTCTGTGAAATGGGACGATACTGCTGACCTCAGTGAGCAGGGCTGGTGAGCAGGGGTGACGGGCCCTCTGCCCTCTACCTGGCAGACCTCATCTTCAGGCCCACTCCCCTGCCCTCCCACCCCCCGCCTGTGCCCTGGCTTGTTGCCACCTTGGAGAGCCCCGGGCACGGCTCCTCCATCTCTCCGGCCTCTGACGGCATCACCAAGGCCACGGCTTGAGGTCCCACCATCCCAGCAGGGCCAGGCTGAGCTGTGGCCATGTCTCACCATGAGCCATGTCCCGAGGGAGGCGCGGAGGGAGGCTTACCTGGTGGCAGGTGAGCACCAGGGCTGTCCACACGAAAACGCCGGAGATGCCGCGGGCCAGCGCACTGGTGAGGAACAGCTGGGGGGCGGCCTGCGAGCTGTTCCCCACGTGGTCCATCTGCAGCCCCGAGGGCTCCGTGGGCATGGCCGGCGGGGGGCTGGGCGGCAGCCAGGTTGCTGACACCTGGGAGGCACCTCGCCGCAGGAGTCCTGAGGTGTCAGCCATCTGCAGGGGCAGGGAGGACACGGGGAGAGAGCAAAGTGTCTGAAAGCAGCCCAGGGCCGGAGGGGAGGGCGGGCTCCCCCTTCAGGCAGCCCACACACGCCTGGAGGACAACCCTGCCCCCTTCTCTGTCTCCCGCAGCCCTGGCGCCCTGTGCACAGGGACGCAGCTCCAAGGCCCACGGCTCCGAGGCCCGGCCTGGGCGCCTCCGTCCCGGGCTCAGCCACCTGGGCGCAGACGCCAGCTCCTGCCTGTGACCTGGGCCGTCCCCCCTCTACGGCCAGGCTTGTGGGGAGCCCGCTTTTTAGGGGCCAAAGTTGT